CCCTCCCTGCTCTTTCCCATGCATTATCTTATAAGCCTCAATCATGTCTCCCCTCAGTCGTCGTTTCTCCAAGCTAAAGAGCCCTAAGCGCCTTAACCTTTCCTCATAGGGAATGTGGTCCAACCCCTTTATCATTCGAGTTGCCCTTTTCTGCACTTTCCCCAAAGCTATAATATCCTTTTTAAGGTGTGGTGACCAGAGAAGCTGTGGGGCAGGCCGGAAGGATTCGGGAACAGTTTGGTGAAGAAAGAGATTGTGAGGAGAGACCCAAAGGAACGGAGAGGGAGTTCAGTGAACCAAAAGGGTGTGGCGGGACCACGGGAGTGGGCACGGGCGAGGTGTGGCACGGAGGGGGGGGTGAGCAGGAGAGCCGGCAGGGGCGGCGCAGTCCCGTGGCAGCTGGGGAGAAAGAACGCCTTTTTCTGTCGGCTCCCAGTTTCTCGCCCAGCTGAAGATCATGGATTACAGCTTGCTGGTGGGGATACATGACGTGGACCGGGCAGAGCAAGAGGAGATGGAAGTGGAGGACCGGGCGGAAGACGAAGAATGCGAGAACGATGGTGTTGGGGGGAACCCCATTGGTTCTTACGGGACCCCCCCTGACAGTCCTGGCAACCTTCTCAACTTCCCCCGTTTTTTTGGACCTGGGGAGTTTGATGCGTCGGTGGATGTCTACGCCATGAAAAGCCATGAAAGTGAGTGGGGGCGGGGGGGGCGCTAAATGTAAAGTACAGTTGGGATGGAATCTGGTGGCAAAAAGTCAGCTGATGACCCAGCTAGTAGTAAAAAGGTGGGGATAGTGTAACCCAGCTCGCTCACCTTTCCCCGCTAGTCTCCTAGGTTTGATGGACCCTTTTGAGTGCCTGACCCTTCTGTCCTGGACCCCACCCTAGGCTTTCCCCATATCTCCAGCAAAGCTGCACTGTCATCTTTTCGGCTGGTGACACAGGAAGGGGGAGTCCCCTTTGACCACCAAGACATGGGCCATTCTGAGGGTCTCAAGCCTGGCATCCACAAACACGAGTGGCCCAGAGGGGGAATTAGGTGGCACCAGGTGAGGAAGCTGGCGAGGCCCAGCCTGGAATTACACTGCAGGCTTCATCCAGAGCAGTTTGAATGTTTGTGAACATTTAATGACACGGCTGTGGCCCATCAAAAAAATTGGAAGTGGAGCGAGTTTAAAGATGACCGTTTTTAGCCACTGTTGCATAAAACAACCATAGCTGCTCACTGGAAGTAATTTAATAAGCTTTAGAAAGGTAAAGGTTTCCCTTGCTCGAAAGCCAGTCGAATCCAACTCTAGGGTTGCGGTGCTCATCTCCATTTCAAAGCCGAAGAGCCAGCGCTGTCCGAAGACGTTTCCGTGGTCATGTGGCCGGCGTGACTAAACACCAAGGCGCACGGAACGCTGTGACCTTCCCACCGAAGTGGTACCTCTTTATCTACTTGCAATTTCTTGCTTTCGAACTGCTAGGTTGGCAGGAGCTGGAACTAGAGACGGGAGCTCACTCCATCATGCGGCACCTGGGTCTCGAACTGCTGAACTACTGACCTTCCACAGCCTGCAGTTCAGCGTCTTAACCACTTGAGCCACCGCAGCTCCTTAAGCTTTAGAAAGAGCAGTGCAAATTTAAATGACCACAGAATCCCCAAGTCTGAAAAGCAGAATGTATTATGCCTATCGTGGTTAACATTTTTCTGTATGACAGTACATTACATTACCATGGAACTATTCTAGCAATGGGGAGGAAAAGGTGCTGCGTCCTTACCCTTGGCAATGCCACCCTGTAAGCATGCAGAATGCTCCTGCAGTCCCATGCATTGTACTTGCCGTAGAAAGGGCACGTGTGTTTTCTGTGTTCCAGGTTGGGAGTTAGGGTCAGGCAGGAGGCCGTGCTTTGAGACACCCTCCTCCTCCTCCCCCTCCCCCTCCCAGACTGCCTTCAGGGGAATCCCATCATGGGTTCCTCAATAAGTCGGCCAGTAATGGTGGCTGAACATCCTGAGACGGCAGCCGGCCACCAGGGCGTTCCTGCTGGGCCTCTTCTCAGATCCTGAGCAGGAGTGAGGATGAAGCCCAGCCAGCCTGGCTCATGCCCTTTGGCTGGACACCCGGAACGTCTCCCAGAATTCTCTGCAGCACTCCGCATTCATCACACCAACAGATGCAGAGATCTATCTGCCAAAAAACCCCACTTGGGGTTCCCTGAATCTAGGAAATGTGGAAACCCCACCAGTTCCCATAAAGGCCCCAGTCCTTCCACAGCTCTGCTGGACCCTGACCAGCACCGGATGCCCCGGCGGGGTTGGTTTATTTAATGCAGACTTTGGCCCTTGTGCACCCCCCGTCAGCTGAAAGCAAAAGTGAGTCTGCTGGACTGACGATGAGGAGGTCCTAGTATTTGGGGGGTGGGGGGAGTCCTCAAAAAGAAACCAATTACCTGCTATGCCTGATACAGTGGATAGGAGTGGGGTGCTGGGCAATGTTCCCTCTAAGTTGTGGAGTCTTGTGAGCAAAAATTCTACTTTGTGAGCTACTGGCACTAAAGTGGTGAGCCAGCGTTTTGGCTACTACATAAGTTAGTTTGTAAAACTAGTTTGCTCTGCAGCCGTCCTTCCTCGGCTAAGAAAAAAAAATGTGGAAGCCAGAGGCTAAAAAACTGAACTAGCTCACACTAACTCAGCTTGGAACACTGGCTGCCATGCTCCCTCTAAGCTGTGGAGCCTTGTGAGCAAAAATTCTACTTTGTGAGCTGCTGGCATTAAAGTTGTGAGCCAGCGATTTGGCTACTGCAGAAATTAGTTTGCTCTGGAGCCATCCTCCCTGAGCTGAGCCCAGAATGTGTGAGCCGGAGGCTAAAAAACTGTGAGCTAGCTCACACTCACTCAGCTTAGAGGGAGCACTGGTGCTGGGTCTGTGCTGAGGGCATCCGCCTTTGGTCCTTCACCAAATCACCTTTTCCGCTGAGAAAGGGCCGCCGTGGTCTCTGGCCACGTGCCAGGCTGGAAGGGTGGCCCTGGGCCTGTGGGCTTTGGCCCTTTGTAGCTCTTCAGCCGTGCTTGCTGCTCAAAGCCCGGAAAGCCACGGCTGGGTCTGTTAACATGTTGCTCTCTCTCTCTCTCTCTTTCATGTTTTAATCAGGTGCTCCTAAAAAGGAGGTATATTTCATGGCCATTATAGATATCCTCACGCCGTACGACACAAAGAAGAAAGCGGCACATGCTGCCAAAACTGTGAAACACGGGGTAAGAAGAAACGATGGGCTCCTGACCCTGCGGCCAGTCAGTAGCAGGGGATGAAGCCCTGTTCTGATGTCCGACAGAGAGGAAATAATTTCCCTCTCCTCCCCCAGTTCTCTCCCCGCTCTCCATCCTGTTCAGTTAGCAACCCTCAATCGTTCACTTTATTCCTCTGATCATTTTGGTCACTCTTTTCTTTCTTTTTATATATGTGTGTATGTGTGCCCCTACCAGTCAGTAGCAGGGGATGAAGCCCTGTTCTGAATTGTCCGACAGAGAGGAAGTAATTTCTCTCTCTCCCCTCCCCCACTTCCCTCCTCACTCTCCATCCTGTTCAGTTAGCAACCCTCGATCGTTCACTTTATTCCTCTGATCATTTTGGTCACTCTTTTCTTTCTTTTTATATGTGTGTGTGTGTGTGTGTGTGTGTGTGCCCCTGGAAGTCACGGCAATCTCTGGTGACTGACCCTGTAACGATTCCTTGTTTTGGTGTGGGCGTGTCTCTTTAAACGTTTGGTTGCATGACGGTGGTAGATAGACTAGAGTGGTTGAGAAAGGCAAGTGTGGTATGATTGGTGGTTGACAGAGGGGGAGGGGTTTTGGAAGTGAAAATGAGTGGATGAGTATGTATGTCAGTCAGGTTTTACAGTTACAGGTTGAACAGTTGATGTTCAGTTAGAGATAGACAAGCAGTTCTGTGTTGAAGCAGTAGTTCAGTGAGACAGAGAAACAGAAGGAAAGCTGAGTGTATAGTAAAAAGTAAATGAAAGTTTAATTGAAGACAAGTTATAGGAAAGGCTGTATGTCCTGATAAACTGGGAAGAAACAGTGAACATATATGACCTTGAGTTAAACAAGTGTTACAAAGTTACCTGAAAGATCCCTGTCAGTGAGGGATAAGATTGTGTGATACCAAAGCAATTGTTCA